TTAACCCATATTTCTTATATAAGTTATACCACATGGTTCACGGCTTGTTATCTCATTTCGTACACATTCTGCTCCCTGTGTTTGGCCAGCAACTTTTGAGACTCTGTCCTCCTTCTTCCCAGCGTTTTCCTAGCCTGACTCTCCCCCACAATCTCTTCCTGCCCAGCTATAGGCCAGTCAGCTCTTTATTAACCAGTAAGAGTAACACATATTTACATTTTTGTAATGTAAGAGCATTTTGTCTGTCCTCTGATTAGTACCAGTTACCATTTGCCCAAGGTAGTTCTACAGCAGAGTTGTGTGTACTTGGAAAATATGGGAATTTCTACATGTACAAACAAGCCAAGTATCTTTATTGTTGTGAAGAGACACCAGGACCATGACAACTCTTACAGAGGTGACGACTTGCAGTTTCAAAGGTATAGTCCATTATCATCATGGCAGGGAGCATGGTGGTGTGCAGGCAGACATGGTGTTGGCTACATCTTAATCAAAAGGCATCAGGAAGTGGACTGAGACACTGGGTGTGGTTTGGGCATATAAAAGACCTCAAAGCCCACCCCTACAGTGACACATTTCTTCCAAAAAGGCCAAACTTATTCAAACAAAGCCACATATCCTAATAGTGCCACTCCCTATGGCAGCCAATTACATTAAGAATACTAGACCATGGGTGGGGACTGGATTTTACTCTGGCCAGAGCTTTGGTTAATATTTGGTTGTGACTTGCAAACCCTTTTCTTTGGTTATTATTCATTTCCTTAGGTACATATTCTGCTTGGGTTGGCAGTCACCTGATCAGATCTTTATTGCTTCTCTATGAACCTCGAAATACCTACATCTTTGGACCATTTTATTTTCAAGTCTGTAACAAGGAATCATGTATAGGGAGAAAATAGACACAGACCTTCAAAATTCCAATGCTGAGTCAGAAAGAAGTCTGAGTCCTGGAAATATTATGAGACATCCAAGTTCTCTAGAGCAAAGTAACCTACTGACACTCTTTCAAGTCTGCACAAGGACTCTCTTCTTAGTCTGAGAAATGGCGTATGCCATTTCTTCTGTCCAGTGTCAGAGCATTTTGTCTGTCTCTGATTAGTGTCAGTTACCATTTGCCCATGTTTGACAGGCACAAAACTTCAAAAAACACACTAAACCCATTAACCTCCTGACTTCTCATGGTGTCTTCTTAATCTAAACTGGCACCTCTTTCAGGTGAGACCCTTGGTTCCTCCATGTTTTCTTAGTATAACATATAGTTACTCTGTGACTAGTGAAATTTTCAAGAGACAATTCACAATTATAGTGGCTACTTAGAAGACCGCTGACAATGGCAAGAAAAAGGCAGGGCCACCATTAGACTGTGAGGACACAAAGTGGCATTACAGACTAAGGAGGGCAGCAGAAACAATGGTATGCAGTGGCAGTACTGGTCATGTGATACTCTAAGGAGTCAGGGTGTATGTAAAGTTTAAAGACTTTAGTGTTTTCATAGTTTTTCAAAAAGGGAGGTAACATTTTAGGAGCTCTAAGCCTTATCATAAATACAAGGATAGGTGAAGGAGTTCACTGACTGCTGTGATGAAATGTTATGACCTTAAACAACTTACGGTAGAAGGAGTCTATTTCAGCTTCCAACTCTCAGGTCACACTCCATTGCAAAGGGAAATCGGGGCTAGAATTCAACAAGAAGCAGGGGTCAGGAGCTGATGCAGAGACCAGGCAGGGGTCTTGTGTACTGGATACTCAGTTTGCTGTGCTGAGTTCTCCTGTATCAACAGTCAACCAAGAATATGCCCTACGGACTGACTGACAAGCTAATCTTATGGAGGCACTTTCTTGATCAATATTCTCTTCCCAGATACCACTGCTTCGTGTTAAAGTGTTATAAACCAGCCAGCATAGATGTGAACCTTTATCTAGGTGAAAAAGTTTACACCAGTGAGCTCATCAGTACAGAGCCAAATGACAGAGTGTAAATGATGTATTTAAGGGAAACAAAGCAACTAAGTAGAACACAGTGAGAAAATAGAAGAGAAAATAGAAAATGAGTTAGGAAAGATCATCATGGATGAGGCAATGAGTTCTTGAGGACATGGAATGCTATGCTTTCTCCAGTGAGGACAGAGAAAAATACTTTATATAGGTTTCTGTCTTAAAGGGCCATGTGTAAAATGCAGGGAAGCAGGGTTAGGAGTTCCAGATTATACATGGCAGAGGATGGTAAGAGTTTTTAAAAATGAAGGAGCAATTTTAATAACAATGTTTGGTGCTTTTCTTAAGAGTGATGGAGTTACACAGCTGGAAAGGAAACCAGGCTCGCAGCACCGCAGATGTAGAGTGAACTGGAAACTGAGCTGCAGCCTGCATCAGGAGAATGAGGGAAATGAAACATGCTTTGTGGCATTCAACGTTAGTCATTGGGAGGGTGAAGCTAATTATGGCAGGAAATTAAGACCTATTTGGGAGATAAAGGGTGGGATAAAGCACTTTGATCATATTGAGTATATCTAGACTGTGGATGCAGATTAGCTGTCAATTATACTTTTTCTCTTGTCCCTGACTAGATAAAACTTGAGGTTCTTTTCTAATGCCTCATGGTGAAAGTGAGGGACTATTCTTTTAGGAGGGCGAGAGCCAAAGGAGGCAGGAAATCGGGTGAAAGTACATTCTTAACACACAAACGCTACTTCTGTCTTAGTCCCTGTTCTGTTGCTGCGAAGAGAAACCCTGACCAAGGCAAATAAGTGAAAGCCTTTAATTCGGGGCTGGCTTACTGTTTCAGAGGGTTAGTCTATTATCATGCTGGCAATGTGGCAGCACACAGATAAATGCTGGAGCAGGAGCCTAGAGCCTCATCCTGATCCACACAGGGTGGGGGTGGGGAGGGAGGGGGCTGGAGTGGGGGGAGATATCTCGAGAGACGAGAGAGAGAGAGAGAGAGAGAGAGAGAGAGAGAGAGAACTTGTCCTACTTTGAAAACTTAAAGCACACTCCCAGTGACAAACTTCCCCAACTCCTAATTCTTCTAATCCTTTCTTTAGTGCCAGTCCCTGGCGGAAATGATAACACCCTGGTGACTAAGCATTCAAATATATGAGCATAAGGAGGCCATTCTTATTCAAATCACCATATCTTGTGTGTGTGTGTGTGTGTGTGTGTGTGTGTGTGTATTGAAACCACTGACAATAGTCACACAGTCAATCTGCGGATGGGTTATACCACAAGGATCTCATATTAGATCACATTCACATATGCAAATTATACCATGCCTTCAGAAGTCAAATGCATAGCTTCGGGCAATTAGGCAATAGCCTTACTCAGCTTTAACTTAATTCATTTTGCAAGTGTGCTTTCCGAAACTTTTCTGTTCTAAGTACTGCTAGAATCATGAATTATTTATGCTCGATTGTTAAGTCTGTGAAAGTTTTCTTTAACAAAGAGTGATCAATCCAGGCGTGGCAGGTATATGTGTATATTCTGAGTGCCTCGTATGGAGAGGCATAAGGATCATGTTTCAAGATTAGCCTTGGTTATAATCATGTCAATAGAGAGAGCTTCTGTCTAAAAAACAACATGAAAAAACACCAACTAATTAATATGAACAGAATGCTTGCAGAATTTTAGGAAATCAAAAACCTAGGAGACACAAGAGTGACATATTTACATGAACTCCTTTAAAAAAGGTGATGAGATGGCTCAGTGGTTAAAAGCAGTGGCTGCTCTTCCAGAGGACAACGCTCAATCCCAGCACTCACAGGATGGCTTACAACCACCTGGACGTCCAGTTTCCGGTGCTCTGATGCCCTCTCTTGACCTTTGCAGGAACCGGGCATGCACTTGGTACACATACTCATGTAAACACTCATCAACAGAAAAATAAAAATAGACAAACCATTTTAAAAAGTGACGCAGCATATACCTGGTTTCAGGGATGCACGGACATAAGCTTGGATTTCTATTTCACCCTTTCGTAGCTTTACCAAGTAACTCTTGAGTGAGAACTTATCTAATTTGTGATGGCTCTATGTTTTCTAGAACTTTCCGAATGGCTACATTATGTATCAGCAGTATCTATTACTTTCCCACAACTTACCTTGCCATGTCACAACGCGGTGGGTGCAGGTAACATGGAATGCTGCGATCATTATTTCAAAATCACTAAATGAAAACTTCTGTTAGATGGCAGGTGGGAGCGTTATTCAGATCTCACCTGACTTATGGGCTAAGTCCCTGTAGTTCCTCCACTTTTCGTTCAGTCTAGCATTCACCTGCTGTTTCTCACATCTACAATGCTGTCTGATAACTCCCCAATACAAATATTTATTGGTCAGAAAACGTGAATTATTTTAATGTTAATAATATTGCATTATAATTGAGTTCTTGATAATTCTTTATGTATAACTATATTCATTTCAATGAACTTTTAATGATGTCTCTAGGCTTCATCAGATTCTCAAAGGTGTTCATTGTACAAGTGAAAGGTAGAGGAAAAGAATGGATGTACAAGTGCATTCATTATATTCTTTTCATTTTTGCACAGAAGGCCTCCAGAACCATGTCAACACTCCATGAATAGTGAGTGAATGGTTTTTAGCCACGTTGGTTGCTAGCGTCCTTGATGGAGGGTGGAAAAAAAACCAAGGCAAAGTTGTAGAACACTTTTTATGCATCCAAGGGACTAAGCTGAATGTCAAAGGGCACACGGAGGTCCCTAACTACTTCTCAATGAGAAGGGAGCTTCCTGGTTGCTAGAACCAAGAAGGCAGTGGGAAGGCCTCATGATCCAGGTGGAAGTTTGGACTAACAGGTTCAAGGCACACTCCCGCGCCCCAGGGTGTTTGGAGAGGGGAATCAGACTCCGACCGAGGTGACTGACAGAAGCCCTCCCGTCCAGCGGGCACACAGGACGACCCCGGGAGCGGAGCCTAGCCTCGCGCAAGAAGCCGCGTCCTCGCCACGCCCACTTCCTGCTCCATCCCTCGCCTTTCCCGGTCCCTCTGCCGGTGAACCGGATGCGCTGTCAGTCTCCTCCTCCGCGTCCTTAGCCTCCACCCAGCTCCCTGGAGAAGCCGCTGCCACCCTGAGGCCTTGGCCAAGAGGCTGCTGGCGACTGGCCCGGCGGGCGCGGGCACGGTAGGAGCTGGGCGCGCACGGCTACCGCGCGTGGAGGAGACACAGCCCTGCGGCCATGGGTGCCAGGGCCGCTCCTTCACGCAGGAGACAAGCGGGCCGCAGGTTGCGCTACCTGCCTACAGGCAGCTTTCCCTTCCTCCTCTTGCTGCTGCTGCTCTGCATCCAGCTCGGGGGCGGACAGAAGAAAAAGGAGGTAGATGGGATCCCGCGGGCGGTCGCCTCAGGGCCCGGGCGGGCTGGAGCTGGCCGCGTTGCTAGGAAGCCCCGTGGCGTTGCTAGGCAGCGGTGATGTGGGCGCTGGCGCCCGGGGGCGGGAGCCACGTGGGCGGGAGCGGGCTGGGCGTGCCCCTGGGGCGTATCAGGCTGTGGATGCTGAGGGTGACCCTAGTTCTACATCCAGGAAGTGGGGGCTGAAGTCTGAAAGCCCATGCCTCAGGGACCATTGCTGCGCTGAGCCTCAGGTGTAGGCCGGGCTTTTGCAGTTCCTTAATATCCTGGGTGTGCAAATACCCATTGGAAGCACTTGTAAGCGCAGGGGAACTCTACCTCTTATTCAGCTCCCTTATTTATGTTAAGACGTCATATTGAGTGATTGAGTGTGTTATTCTGTATTCCTAATTATACCCTTTAGCACTAAATGCTTATTTCTGTGTTTAGCTCAGTGTGTAATAGAGAGAACAATAACATTTTTTTTTTTAATACTCTGTACTTATTTGCGAAGTTTGGGTCTGATTTCAATTTCAACCTACCATTATTTTGAGGGTGAGAGTTGATGTATCTGCGTGAGTTGCAGAGTTATTTGTGAACTCAATTTGACAGAATTAATGTGGAAGTCTGGTCTGGTCGTTTCATAAAAACATTCATTGTGGAATTGTGACTAGGATTTCTAATTGTAGACCAGTTTGGTAAGAGTACTTTGTTTTTATGGCAGGAGATGCTTTTACTGTTAAATTACACAGGTACACGAGTCTCATAATTTGACTTTGGTTCAGTTTATTGCAAGCATTTCTTTAGTAAGGGAAAGAGAGAGAGAGAGAGAGAGAGAGAGAGAGAGAGAGAGAGAGAGAGAGGATACAGTCTCAGAGTAAACAGTAATTTCTTCTCTTCATTCATTAATAATTTTTTAAATGGTACATGTGTATTTTGTCGGGATGCATGTCTGTGCACCACTTGGGTTGGTAGCCCAGGAGGTTTCTAACATCTGATCTCCTAGACCCGGAGTCACAGCGGGTTATGAGCGACTGTATGGGTGCTGGGAATCGAACCCAGATCTCCTGGAAGAGCAATTAGTGCTCTTGAACAGGGAAGTCCTCCCCAATCCCTTCTCTTCACCTTTACTTGAAACAATCTCGGTATTAAGACTGTGCCTCCCTCCCCTTTGAAATTTTTTTCTTTGCATAAAAAGTCGGGCATACGAAATTGTTGGTATTTTGGTAGGAGATTGGGGACTAACTGCTGGTAAATTGAAATCGTCCTTTCTACACGAATTAGATATACTTTCCAGCACTTTGTGTTTTGTGTCGTATTTTCCAGATTTTTTAAATGAGAAAGGTAGGAGATTTGCAGTAGGCAATTTTTTTTGGGGGGGGGGTGTATACAAAACAAAAGGCAATAGAAATGGATGAGACACTTCTCGTCATTTGTGTTATTTGTGCCGTTTGTGGGAGCCTAGGCAGTTTGGATGCTCACCTTATGAGACCTGGATAGAGGTGGGCAGTCCTTGGGCTTCCCACAGGTCAGGGAACCCTGATTGCTCTTCGAGCAGATGAGGGAGGGGGACTTGATCGGGGGGAGGGGGAGGGAAATGGGAAGCGGTTGCAGGGACGAGGCAGAAATCCTTAATAAATAAATAAATTTAAATAAAAAAAAAGAGAAAAAAAAAGAATGTCACCAGGACCACTGTAAGTCGTAGGGGAAAATATTAGATAGTTTACAGGCTCATAGGTTCTCAGCATCTCCAATTATCAGGCCATCTCAATAGGTAAGATGTTGGGAAACTTACTATAATTAAATAATTAAGCTTAAAGTGCATATTTCCCTTAAAAATCCGTAAAATATTTGTTAGATATTTTGGGAAAGGAAAAGATTAGGAACCGCTGAGATGGCTCAGCAGGCAGAGATATTTGCCTTCAAGCCTGATGACTTGACTCCCTTTCTAGAACCCTCATGGGGGAGCAAACCAGCTCCTATAGAGTCTCCTCTGATTTTCACACGGGGGCGTTGACATGTGCACAGACACACATGGGGGAAACCATGATTCGAGATTGAAATGGGATGTCTTCCAAAAGTACCTCTGCCATAACAAGAAAACCAATAATATATGGTGATATTACAGAGGAAATTAAACTCTTGGAGTATTTTGAATGATATTTAATTCACGGACTTTGATTTCTTCTAATTCTGGAAGAAAAAACATACTTTGTTGGAAATGATGAGAAATAGTAATCCAACATTTTTTTTTTCTGGTAGATTTTTTTTTTCCTTTCTTGACCTAAGAACCTAGTTGCCAATATAAGATCCTATAACATTGAATCAGAAAGGACAGTAGTCAGAACACAATTTAAAATAGATGTTATTCACATGTGTATCAGAGTAGCTGTCTTGGCATGAACACATTTTCTTTGTAAGGTAGGAAGCCATGTTGAAGTCTAAAGTTAAGCTGGCAAAATGGGTTGTGTGTGCTTTTAATATGGATTATGACAGCAACAGTTGTTGTGGATTTTTGAGTCATAGACAGATAGGTCCAGTTGCAACTGGATCTCTGATTTGACCCCTGGCAAGTACTTAATCTTGAAGTTAAGTGTGCTTATTCTCAAATCCAGACACCAAGTATGTCCATCTTAGGATACTGAGGTTGAGAGTGTATACAGATTCCACCACAGTGCCTCAGACATACCAGCAAATGAAAATAGTTCTGGCTTCTCCTATGTGATGTTTATATAAAGGGAAGTATAATATGATGGGGTTCTCAAATGAAAGTTAGATTTTTTTCTTTTTAATTTTTTTATTTTCTTAAGTAAACTCTACAAAATAAGCCATATGCCTCTCTAATAAGTTGCCATATTGCCAAACACTTGAAATCTAAAATCCTTTGGTTGTTGAAGCGCCCTGCTTTTCCATCATATAAAAGTTAGTGATAGTCCATGCATTGGTGTGTGTTTTTGCACAACTTGTACATGTGTTTGCACACATTTCTTCATGAAATGACATTTACATTCCTTAAAATGAGTTTTGTTATGTCTTCTGTTTTGGAATATACTTGAGAAATAACTGAGTAGCTAGAGACAATTGGAGATCTTTTTAGTTATTTCCTATAATTACATTAAATATAGCCATTATCAACCAACTTTGAACCCTTTTCATGCTAAGTGATAAGAATTTGTGGGAAACTTTGCTTTTTTTCTTGTTTTCTTATATCATTAATACCAGTTAGTTAATCACCTTTATTTAGAATTGTTTTTATTTTTTAATGACCTCTTCTAATAATAAATTATAAAAAGCCTTAGCAGTGTACTTAATAACTTTGCCAAACATCAGAAGTGTCTGTAATCTCTCGCACTTGCTCAGAATGTGACTCGTTAATGGGCTGCAGTGTGTGGATGACAGGAGTAGGTGGTATGGAAGCCGAAATTGCTCTCAGGTAGAGAGAGGACCAGTTTTTCCCCGTCCCCACTGAAACATTTCCATTGCCTTTTATGTCTGTCTGTAAAGAGCGTTTATGCGGGAATGCATAATACTCTCCAGTTGTTTCTAATGGTTCATCTGTGAGAGATTTGAATGTTTTACCGAATATTGGTAAGTAGTATATTTTCAGCCAAAACTGAAGTTTGCAGCTATAGTACAAATTTCAAAACTGTCTAGGAAATAACCGGCTGATACCCACACACGTGTCAAGATTGTCATTTAATTTAGCTGTGATCTGACAGCGAGTTGAAGGCTAATTGAAAACAACAGGCCTTATCGTGAACAGGCCAAACTGAGTCTCCATGCTGCCTCTGTGCAGTTCCTCATAACAGCACTGGATGGTTCTGTTCTCATCAGCCGTGGTCCGTTTGCTCTGTGGATATAGAAATACTGGGTTGGCGAGGGAAAGCTCTTCCAGTGCTGATCGGACAGTTTTGTGTTGTGTTTGGTGGTGGTTGTGTTTGGTAGCGGTGAGCAGCTATGGACAGCAGTAGTAGTAACAGATGCAAACCCACAGTGTTAGAGCTTTCGAGGAGGCCCAGGGTACTGAGACCCCTCGGCAATGAATTGGGGAGGTCTGAGAGCACAGCCCTTGACAGCTGCTAGTGCTGGGATTTCCCAGGCCCTTGACTGTTGCCAGTGTTACATATCCTTGGCCTATTGTGCCTAAGACCTTTGGCTTTTAAGCTTTTAAGCTCCTTGGAATCTTTTTAGTTTCTAGTACCTGTGGTTTTCTTCCCTACAGTTTCTTTCCTTCAGCCTTTGCCTTTTTGTCTCCTTACTTTCTGCATTCTTGTCACAGTGACTCTGGAACTGTCCAACTGCCTCTTTTGCTGTGGCTCTTGTGTTGTGACTTTTGCTTCTTTTGCTGTCCTTGCCGCTGCCTGTCCCTGGCTGCTGTTCTGCTTTGACTCTACTGTCGGTGTCTAGGAAATTTCCTTTTTGTTGCTTCTCCACAGTGCTGCTGCCTCAACTCAGCCGACTGCTGTTCCCTACTGCCTGTGGACCCTCAGGATTGGGGTGGCAATCACCCGTCTCTGTCCTTCCTGTGGTACATTATCCCAGGACTCTAGCACACACGAGGTTATCACTCACAACAGCAGTATTTTGATAGAGTTCAATAAACTTACTGCCATTCTCAGAAGGTTTGAATCAGGGTGTCACCTTCCTTTGACAGAAGACAACAAGGAAAGGCCTGTCCAAAGAGGTCGCTCACCCCTGGAGTGAGTTGCATTGCAGGAAAGGAACCTTGAGGTTAAGGAACCCAAATCTTTTGAAGAGAGCAATTTGACCTTTTCCTTAGAGAGAAACATTATCTTTATTAAGCTTGAAGAGAAACTCCCTTCCCCCTCATCCCCTTCCAGGGTGCAGGCTCCATCACGACTATACTTTACAAGCATTTTTGAAAAGATAGTCCAAAACCAAGTCAGTCTGTCACAGGCTGTGTAGAAACCCGTGGGGGTCCCTGCCAGCACTACAGCTAGCATGGGAGCGATCTGGGTGAGGTAA